TACTACACTATCACTACTATCACTACAACTACTACAACACTACTACTACCACTACTACTACAATTACTACACTACTATTACTATTACACTACTACTATCACTACTATCATTACTATCACTACAACTACTACACTACTACTATCACTATTACTACTACCACTACTACTACACTACTACTATCACTATTACTACTACACTACTACTACACTACAACTACTACAACACTACTACTACGAGCATCTCTACGGCTGGACCATGGACCAAGTGGTGCAGCAGGCCAGTTCACTACTACCACTACTATCACTACTATTACTATTACTACTATTACACTACTACTATCACTACTACTACTACACTACTACACACTACTATCACTATTACTACTATTACTACTATCACTACTACTATTACCACTGCTACTACACTACTACTACTACACTACTACTACACACTACACTACTACACACTACACTACTACACTACACACTACACTACTACTACACACTACTACAACTACTACACTACTACTACTACACTACTACTACTACACTACTACTACTGTCGTGTCGTACGAGCATCTCTACGGCTGGACCATGGACCAAGTGGTGCAGCAGGCCAGTTCACTACCACTACTATCACTATTATCACTATTACTATCACTACTACTATCACTATTACTATCACTACTACTATTACTACTATTACACTACTACTACTACAACACTACTATTACTATCACTACTACTATTACACTACTACTACACTACCACTACTATCACTACTACTACTATTACTACACTACTATTACACTACTACACACTACTACTACTACAACTACTACACTACTACTACTACACTACTACTACACTACTACTACTACACTACTACTACTACACTACTACTACTACACTACTACTACTACACTACTACTACACTACTATTACACTACTACACACTACACTACTACAACTACTACACTACTACTACACTACTACTACTACTGTCGTGTCGTACGAGCATCTCTACGGCTGGACCATGGACCAAGTGGTGCAGCAGGCCAGTACACTACCACTACTATCACTATTATCACTATTACTATCACTACTATCACTACCACTATTATTATTACACTACTACTACTACACTACTACTACACTACTACTACTACTACACTACTACTACACTACTACTACACTACTACTACACTACTACTACACTACTACTACTACACTACTACTACACTACTACTACACACTACACTACTACTACTACACTACTACTACACTACTACTACTACTATCACTACAACTACAACACTACTACTACGAGCATCTCTACGGCTGGACCATGGACCAAGTGGTGCAGCAGGCCAGTACACTACCACTACACTACTACTATCACTACTACTACTATTACTACTATTACACTACTACTATTACTACTATCACTATTACTACTATCACTACTACAACTACTACACTACTACTACAACTACACTACTACTACACTACTACTACTACTGTCGTGTCGTACGAGCATCTCTACGGCTGGACCATGGACCAAGTGGTGCAGCAGGCCAGTACACTACTATCACTACTATCACTATTACCACTACTACTATCACTACTATCACTACCACTACTATTACTACAATTACTATTACTACTACACTACTACTACTACACTACTACCACTATCACTACTACTACTACACTACTACTACACTACTACTACTACACTACTACTACAACTACTACTACACTACTACTACTACACTACTACTACTGCACTACTACTACTACACTGCTACACACTACTACTACTACACTACTACACTACTACTACTACACTACTACCACTATCACTACTACTACTACACTACTACTACACTACTACTACTACACTACTACTACAACTACTACACTACTACTACACTACTACTACACACTACTACAACTACTACACTACTACTACTACACTACTACTACACTACTACTACACTACTACTACTACTACACTACTACTACACTACTACTACTACTGTCGTGTCGTACGAGCATCTCTACGGCTGGACCATGGACCAAGTGGTGCAGCAGGCCAGTTCACTACCACTACTACTATTACTACTATTACACTACTATCACTACTACTATCACTACTATCACTACTATTACTACACTACTATTACTATCACTATTATTATTACACTACTACTACACTACTACTACACTACTACAACTACTATCACTACTACTATCACTACTACTATCACTACTACTACACTACTACCACTACTACTACACTACTACTACACTACTACTACTACACTATTACTACTATACTACTACTACACTACTACTACACTACTACTATCACTACTACACTACTACTACTACTATCACTACCACTACTACAACTACTACTACTACTACTACACTACTACTACTACACTACTACTACTACTACTACTACTACTACACTACTACTACTACTACTATCACTACCAACCTACAACTACTACTACTACTACACTACTACTACTACACTACTACTACACTACTACTACACTACTACTACTACTACACTACTACTACACTACTACTACTACTGTCGTGTTGTACGAGCATCTCTACGGCTGGACCATGGACCAAGTGGTGCAGCAGGCCAGTTCACTATCACTACTACTATCACTACTACTATCACTATTATCACTATTACTACACTACTATTACATTACTACTACAACTATCACTACCACTACTATCACTACTACTACTACAACTACTATCACTACTACAACTATCACTACTACCACTACTACTATTACTACTATTGCTACACTACTATTACTATTACACTACTACTATCACTACCACTACTACTACAACTGCAATTACACTACTATTACTATTACACTACTACTATCACTATTACTACAACTACACTACTACAACTACTACAACTAATACTACTACCACTACAACTACTACCAATACTACTACTACAACTACCACTGCTACCACTATCTCTACAACTATCACTACAACAACTACTACTATCACTATCACTACAACAACTACTACTACCACTCTTACTACAACTACTACAACTATTACTACAACTACTACTACAACTATTACTACAACTATCACTACAACTGCTACTACTACAACTACTACTACTACCACTACTACTGCCACTACTACTACAACTACTACCACTACTACTATCACTACTACTACGACTACTACTACTACAACCACTACAACTACTACTACCACTATTACTACACCTACTACAACTATTACCACTATTTCTAACACTACTGCTACAACTACTATCACTAAACTACTATTTCTACAACTCACTACAACTACTATCACTACAACTACTACTGTCACTACTACTACTACAACTACTATCACTACTACAACTATCACTAGAACTACTACCACTACAACTACTACAACTATCCCTACTACCACTACAAGTACTACAACTACACTACTACAACTACTACCACTACTACTACCACTACTACTACCACCACTACTACTACCACCACCACTACTACCACTACTACAACTACTACCACCACCACTACTACCACTACTGCAACTACTACTACCACTACCGCTACTGTGTGTGTGCACGTGCTAGCTACACGTACCACGTGGTAGCTACACGTACCACGTGGTAGCTACACGTACCACGTGCTAGCTACCACACGTACCACGTGCTAGCTACACCTACCACGTGGTAGCTACACGTACCACGTGCTAGCTACACGTACCACGTGGTAGCTACACGTACCACGTGGTAGCTACACTTACCACGTGGTAGCTACACATACCACGTGGTAGCTAGCACGTACCACGTGCTAGCTACCACACGTACCACGTGCTAGCTACACCTACCACGTGGTAACTACACGTACCACGTGCTAGCTACATGTACCACGTGGTAGCTACACGTACCACGTGGTAGCTACACTTACCACGTGGTAGCTACACGTACCACGTGGTGGCTACACCTACCACGTGGTAGTTACACGTACCACGTGGTAGCTACACCTACCACGTGCTAGCTACACGTACCACGTGGTAGCTACACCTACCACGTGGTACCTACACATACCACGTGCTAGCTACACGTACCACGTGCTAGCTACACCTACCACGTGGTACCTACACATACCACGTGCTAGCTACACGTACCACGTGGTACCTACACATACCACGTGCTAGCTACACGTACCACGTGCTAGCTACACCTACCACGTGCTAGCTACACCTACCACGTGCTAGCTACACGTACCACGTGCTAGCTACACCTACCACGTGCTAGCTACACGTACCACGTGCTAGCTACACGTACCACGTGCTAGCTACACGTACCACGTGCTAGCTACACCTACCACGTGCTAGCTACACCTACCACGTGGTAGCTACACGTACCACGTGCTAGCTACACGTACCACGTGCTAGCTACACCTACCACGTGCTAGCTACACCTACCACTGTGTGGTTCTTCTAGGTAGGTCCCCGTGGTACCTGCACCTACTGCAGGGTGCTAGCTACACGTACCACGTGGTATCTACACGTACCACGTGCTAGCTACACGTACCACTGTGTGGTTGTGCTGGTTCTAGGTAGGTCCCCGTGGTACCTACACGTACCACTGTGTGGTTCTTCTAGGTAGGTACCGAGGTACCTGCACCTACCACGTGCTAGCTACACCTACCACTGTGCTGCTGGTTCTTCTAGGTAGGTACCCGTGGTACCTGCACCTACTGCGGGGTGCTAGCTACACCTACCACGTGGTACCTACACGTACCACTGTGTGGTGGTTCTAGGTGGGTACCCGAGGTACCTGCACCTACTGCGGGGTGCTAGCTACACCTACCACGTGGTACCTACACGTACCACTGTGTGCTGGTTCTAGGTAGGTACCCGTGGTACCTGCACCTACTGTGGGGTGCTAGCTACACCTACCACTGTGTGGTTCTTCTAGGTGGGTACCCGAGGTACCTGCACCTACTGCGGGGTGCTAGCTACACGTACCACGAGGTACCTACACCTACCACTGTGTGGTTGTGTGGTTCTAGGTGGGTATCCGAGGTACCTGCACGTACCACTGTGTGGTTGTGTGGTTCTAGGTAGGTACCCGAGGTACCTGCACCTACTGTGGTGTACCTACACGTACCACTGTGTGGTTGTGCTGGTTCTAGGTAGGTCCCCGTGGTACCTGCACCTACCACGTGGTACCTACACGTACCACTGTGTGCTGGTTCTAGGTGGGTACCCGAGGTACCTGTACCTACTGTGGTGTATCTACACCTACCACGTGCTAGCTACACCTACCACGTGCTAGCTACACCTACCACTGTGTGGTTGTGTGGTTCTAGGTAGGTACCCGAGGTACCTGCACCTACTGCGGGGTGCTAGCTACACCTACCACGTGCTAGCTACACCTACCACGTGCTAGCTACACGTACCACGTGGTACCTACACGTACCACTGTGTGGTTGTGTGGTTCTAGGTGGGTACCCGTGGTACCTGCACCTACTGCGGGGTGCTAGCTACACGTACCACGTGGTATCTACACGTACCACTGTGTGGTGGTTCTAGGTGGGTACCCGAGGTACCTACACCTACCACTGTGTGGTTTGTGTGGTTCTAGGTAGGTACCCGTGGTACCTGTACCTACTGCGGGGTGCTAGCTACACGTACCACTGTGTGGTGGTTCTAGGTGGGTACCCGAGGTACCTACACCTACCACTGTGTGGTTGTGTGGTTCTAGGTGGGTACCCGAGGTACCTGCACCTACTGCGGGGTGCTAGCTACACCTACCACGTGCTAGCTACACGTACCACGTGGTACCTACACCTACCACTGTGTGGTTGTGGTGGTTCTAGGTAGGTACCCGAGGTACCTGCACCTACTGTGGTGTACCTACACCTACCACTGTGTGGTTCTAGGTAGGTACCCGAGGTATCTACACGTACCACTGTGTGGTTGTGTGGTTCTAGGTGGGTACCCGAGGTACCTACACGTACCACTGTGTGGTTGTGTGGTTCTAGGTGGGTACCCGTGGTACCTGCACCTACTGCGGGGTGCTAGCTACACCTACCACGTGCTAGCTACACCTACCACGTGCTAGCTACACCTACCACTGTGTGGTGGTTCTTCTAGGTAGGTCCCCGAGGTATCTACACGTACCACTGTGTGGTTGTGTGGTTCTAGGTGGGTACCCGAGGTACCTGCACCTACTGTGGTGTATCTACACGTACCACTGTGTGGTTCTTCTAGGTAGGTACCCGAGGTACCTGCACCTACTGTGGTGTACCTACACCTACCACTGTGTGATTCTAGGTGGGTACCCGAGGTACCTGCACCTACTGCGGGGGTACCTACACCTACCACGTGGTACCTACACGTACCACTGTGCTGCTGGTTCTAGGTGGGTACCCGTGGTACCTGCACCTACTGTGGTGTACCTACACGTACCACTGTGCTGCTGGTTCTAGGTGGGTACCCGTGGTACCTGCACCTACTGTGGTGTACCTACACGTACCACTGTGCTGCTGGTTCTAGGTGGGTACCCGTGGTACCTGCACCTACTGTGGTGTACCTACACGTACCACTGTGCTGCTGGTTCTAGGTGGGTACCCGTGGTACCTGCACCTACTGTGGTGTACCTACACGTACCACTGTGCTGCTGGTTCTAGGTAGGTACCCGAGGTACCTGCACCTACTGTGGGGTGCTCCGTCGCCAGGCGCTGGAGCGAGGCGCCCGCAGCGTTGGGGCCGACCTCCTGGCCACCGGCCACAACGCCGACGACCTCGCCGAGACGGTGCTGATGAACGTGTTGCGTGGGGACGGGGCCCGGCTGGCACGCTGTGTGGGGACACTCACCTCGTCACACGGTGATCATCACACTCACCTCGTCACACGGTGATCATCACACTCACCTCGTCACACGGTGACCACCACCACACTCACCACCACCTCACCGAGACGGTGCTGATGAACGTGTTGCGTGGGGACGGGGCCCGGCTGGCACGCTGTGTGGGGACACTCACCTCGTCACATGGTGATCACCTCATCACTCACCTCGTCACACGGTGACCATCACACTCACCTCGTCACACTCACAACTAACACACTCACCAACACGATCACCACCATCACCACCACCACCATCACCACCATCACCACGATCACCACCACCACCTCACCGAGACGGTGCTGATGAACGTGTTGCGTGGGGACGGGGCCCGGCTGGCACGCTGTGTGGGGACACTCACCTCGTCACACGGTGATCATCACACTCACCTCATCACTCACCTCGTCACACTCACCAACACACTCACCATCACCACCACCAACTCACCGAGACGGTGCTGATGAACGTGTTGCGTGGGGACGGGGCCCGGCTGGCACGCTGTGTGGGGACACTCACCTCGTCACACGGTGACCACCTCATCACTCACCTCGTCACACTCACCAACACGATCACCACACTCACCACCACCACGATCACCATCACCACCATCACACCACCACCACCACCATCACCACACTCACCACCTCGCCGAGACGGTGCTGATGAACGTGTTGCGTGGGGACGGGGCCCGGCTGGCACGCTGTGTGGGACACTCACCTCGTCACACGGTACTCACCTCGTCACTCACCTCGTCACACGGTGACCACCACCACCACCATCACCACCACCTCACCGAGACGGTGCTGATGAACGTGTTGCGTGGGGACGGGGCGCGGCTGGCACGCTGTGTGGGGACACTCACCTCGTCACACGGTGACCACCTCATCACACTCACCACCACCACCATCACCACCAACTCACCGAGACGGTGCTGATGAACGTGTTGCGTGGGGACGGGGCCCGGCTGGCACGCTGTGTGGGGACACTCACCTCGTCACATGGTACACACGTCATCACTCACCTCGTCACACTCACCAACACACTCACCACTAACACCACCATCACCACCACGATCACCACCACGAACTCACCGAGACGGTGCTGATGAACGTGTTGCGTGGGGACGGGGCCCGGCTGGCACGCTGTGTGGGGACACTCACCTCGTCACACGGTGACCACCTCATCACTCACCTCGTCACACGGTGACCACCACCACGATCACCACCATCACCACCTCGCCGAGACGGTGCTGATGAACGTGTTGCGTGGGGACGGGGCCCGGCTGGCACGCTGTGTGGGGACACTCACCTCGTCACATGGTACACACTCCAACACACTCACCTCGTCACACTCACCAACACCACACTCACCACCATCACCACCATCACCACCATCACCACCTCACCGAGACGGTGCTGATGAACGTGTTGCGTGGGGACGGGGCCCGGCTGGCACGCTGTGTGGGGACACTCACCTCGTCACATGGTGACCACCTCATCACACACCTCGTCACACGGTGACCACCACCACGATCACCACCACCACTAACACACTCACCACCTCACCGAGACGGTGCTGATGAACGTGTTGCGTGGGGACGGGGCCCGGCTGGCACGCTGTGTGGGGACACTCACCACCTCGTCACACGGTACTCACCTCATCACTCACCTCGTCATACGGTGACCACCTCATCACACTCACCACCACCACACTCACCACGACCTCACCGAGACGGTGCTGATGAACGTGTTGCGTGGGGACGGGGCGCGGCTGGCACGCTGTGTGGGGACACTCACCTCGTCACACGGTGACCACCTCATCACTCACCTCGTCACACGGTGACCACCACCACACTCACCACCTCGCCGAGACGGTGCTGATGAACGTGTTGCGTGGGGACGGGGCCCGGCTGGCACGCTGTGTGGGGACACTCACCTCGTCACATGGTACTCACCTCATCACTCACCTCGTCACACGGTGACCACCACCACGATCACCACGATCACCACCATCACCATCACCACGATCACCACCACCTCGCCGAGACAGTGCTGATGAACGTGTTGCGTGGGGACGGGGCCCGGCTGGCACGCTGTGTGGGGACACTCACCACCTCGTCACATGGTACACACCTCATCACACTCACCTCGTCACACTCACCATCACCACCATCACCACCTCGCCGAGACGGTGCTGATGAACGTGTTGCGTGGGGACGGGGCCCGGCTGGCACGCTGTGTGGGGACACTCACCTCGTCACACGGTGACCACCTCATCACTCACCTCGTCACACTCACCAACACCACCATCACCACCACCACCTCACCGAGACGGTGCTGATGAACGTGTTGCGTGGGGACGGGGCCCGGCTGGCACGCTGTGTGGGGACACTCACCTCGTCACACGGTGACCACCTCATCACTCACCTCGTCACACGGTGACCACCACCACCATCACCACCACCTCACCGAGACGGTGCTGATGAACGTGTTGCGTGGGGACGGGGCCCGGCTGGCACGCTGTGTGGGGACACTCACCTCGTCACACGGTGATCATCACACTCACCTCGTCACACGGTGACCACCTCATCACACTCACCACTAACACCATCACCACCACCACAATCACCACGAACTCACCGAGACGGTGCTGATGAACGTGTTGCGTGGGGACGGGGCCCGGCTGGCACGCTGTGTGGGGACACTCACCTCGTCACACGGTGACCACCTCATCACTCACCTCGTCACACGGAGACCACCACCAACACGATCACCACCATCACCACCATCACCACCACCACGACCTCGCCGAGACGGTGCTGATGAACGTGTTGCGTGGGGACGGGGCCCGGCTGGCACGCTGTGTGGGGACACTCACCTCGTCACACGGTGACCACCTCATCACTCACCTCGTCACACTCACCACTAACACACTCACCACCATCACCACCATCACCACGATCACCACCACCATCACCACGACCTCACCGAGACGGTGCTGATGAACGTGTTGCGTGGGGACGGGGCGCGGCTGGCACGCTGTGTGGGGACACTCACCACCTCGTCACACGGTGACCACCTCATCACTCACCTCGTCACACGGTGATCACCTCATCACTCACCTCGTCACACTCACCACCACGATCACCACCACCAACTCACCGAGACGGTGCTGATGAACGTGTTGCGTGGGGACGGGGCCCGGCTGGCACGCTGTGTGGGGACACTCACCTCGTCACATGGTGACCACCTCATCACTCACCTCGTCACACGGTGACCACCACCACGATCACCACCACCACTAACACACTCACCACCTCACCGAGACGGTGCTGATGAACGTGTTGCGTGGGGACGGGGCCCGGCTGGCACGCTGTGTGGGGACACTCACCACCTCGTCACACGGTACTCACCTCATCACTCACCTCGTCATACGGTGACCACCTCATCACACTCACCACCACCACACTCACCACGACCTCACCGAGACGGTGCTGATGAACGTGTTGCGTGGGGACGGGGCGCGGCTGGCACGCTGTGTGGGGACACTCACCTCGTCACACGGTGACCACCTCATCACTCACCTCGTCACACGGTGACCACCACCACACTCACCACCTCGCCGAGACGGTGCTGATGAACGTGTTGCGTGGGGACGGGGCCCGGCTGGCACGCTGTGTGGGGACACTCACCTCGTCACATGGTACTCACCTCATCACTCACCTCGTCACACGGTGACCACCACCACGATCACCACGATCACCACCATCACCATCACCACGATCACCACCACGAACTCACCGAGACGGTGCTGATGAACGTGTTGCGTGGGGACGGGGCCCGGCTGGCACGCTGTGTGGGGACACTCACCTCGTCACACGGTGACCACCTCATCACTCACCTCGTCACACGGTGACCACCACCAACACGATCACCACCATCACCACCATCACCACCACCACGACCTCGCCGAGACGGTGCTGATGAACGTGTTGCGTGGGGACGGGGCCCGGCTGGCACGCTGTGTGGGGACACTCACCTCGTCACACGGTACTCACCTCATCACACTCACCACCACCACCATCACCACCAACTCACCGAGACGGTGCTGATGAACGTGTTGCGTGGGGACGGGGCGCGGCTGGCACGCTGTGTGGGGACACTCACCTCGTCACACGGTGATCATCACACTCACCTCGTCACACTCACCAACACACTACTAACACACTCATCACCACCTCGCTCACCAACACGATCACTACTAACACACTCATCACCACCACAGTCACCAACACGCTCACTACTAACACACTCATCACCACCTCGCTCACCACCACGATCACTACTAACACACTCATCACCACCACACTCACCAACACACTCACTACTAACACACTCATCACCACCACACCAACACGATCACTACTAACACACTCATCACCACCTCGCTCACCACCACGATCACTACTAACACACTCATCACCACCTCGCTCACCAACACGCTCACTACTAACACACTCATCACCACCTCGCTCACCACCACGCTCACTACTAACACACTCATCACCACCACACTCACCACCACGATCACCACTAACACACTCATCACCACCTCGCTCACCAACACGCTCACTACTAACACACTCATCACCACCTCGCTCACCAACACACTCACTACTAACACACTCATCACCACCTCGCTCACCACCACGGTCACTACTAACACACTCATCACCACCTCGCTCACCAACACGCTCACTACTAACACACTCACCACCACCACACTCACCACCACGATCACTACTAACACACTCATCACCACCTCGCTCACCAACACACTCACTACTAACACACTCACCACTACACTCACCACCACGATCACTACTAACACACTCATCACCACCACACTCACCAACACACTCACTACTAACACACTCACCACTACACTCACCACCACGATCACTACTAACACACTCATCACCACATCGCTCACCAACACGATCACTACTAACACACTCATCACCACCTCGCTCACCACCACGATCACTACTAACACACTCATCACCACCACACTCACCACCACGCTCACTACTAACACACTCATCACCACCTCGCTCACCACCACGATCACTACTAACACACTCATCACCACCACACTCACCAACACGCTCACTACTAACACACTCATCACCACCTCGCTCACCAACACGATCACTACTAACACACTCATCACCACCTCGCTCACCACCACGATCACTACTAACACACTCATCACCACCTCGCTCACCACCACGCTCACTACTAACACACTCATCACCACCTCGCTCACCACCACGATCACTACTAACACACTCAACACCACCACACACACCACCACGATCACTACTAACACACTCATCACCACCACACTCACCACCACGATCACTACTAACACACTCATCACCACCTCGCTCACCACCACGATCACTACTAACACACTCATCACCACCACACTCACCAACACACTCACTACTAACACACTCACCACTACACTCACCACCACGATCACTACTAACACACTCATCACCACCACACTCACCAACACACTCACTACTAACACACTCACCACTACACTCACCACCACGATCACTACTAACACACTCATCACCACATCGCTCACCAACACGCTCACTACTAACACACTCACCACCACCACCAACACACTCACCATCACCACCACCACACTCACCACCTCACCGAGACGGTGCTGATGAACGTGTTGCGTGGGGACGGGGCACGGCTGGCACGCTGTGTGGGGACACTCACCTCGTCACATGGTACACACTCCAACACACTCACCTCGTCACACTCACCACCACCACCACACTCACCACCACACTCACCAACACGCTCACCACGCACACCACCACGTCGCTCACCACGTCGCTTACCACGTCGCTCACCACGTCGCTCACCACGGGGCTCACCATGGTGCTCACCACGCGGTCTGTGTCTGTGTGTGTCTGTGTGTCTGTGTGTGTGTCTGTGTGTGTGTCTGTGTGTGTGTCTGTGTGTGTGTCTGTGTCTGTGTGTGTGTGTGTCTGTGCGTGTGTGTGTGTGTGTCTGTGCGTGTGTGTCTGTGTGTGTTTGTCTGTGTGTGTGTGTGTGTGTCTGTGTGTGTGTGTCTATGTCTGTGTGTCTGTGTGTGTGTGTGTCTGTGTGTATGTCTGTGTGTGTCTGTGTGTGTGTGTCTGTGTGTCTGTGTGTGTGTGTCTGTGTGTGTGTGTCTGTGTGTCTATGTCTATGTGTGTGTGTCTGTGTGTGTGTGTGTGTAGGAGAGGGAGCCATCCCACGGTGTAAGCCCCTCATGTACTGCTATGAGAAGGAAATTGTCCTGTACGCCTACTTCAACAAGCTGGACTACTTCAGGTGTGTACACGCACGTGTGACTGTGTCTGTATGTGTGTGTGTGGCACAGTAGGGGGCACAGGTGGTGCATCAGCCACTCATCTCAGTCGTCTCAGTCATCTCAGCCACTCATCTCAGTCGTCTCAGTCAGTCATCTCAGCCACTCATCTCAGTCATCTCAGTCAGTCATCTCAGTCATCTCAGTCATCTCAGTCAGTCATCTCAGTCATCTCAGCCACTCATCTCAGTCATCTCAGTCAGTCATCTCAGTCAGTCAACCCGTGGCACCTGCTGGGTCTGCCCCGTGACCTCCCGGTGCACCTAGCCTGGCACAGTAGGGGGCACAGGGGGTGCATCAGCCAGTCATCTCAGTCAGTCGACCCGTGGCACCTGCTGGGTCTGCCCCGTGACCTCCTGGTGCACCTAGCCTGGCACAGTAGGGGGCACAGGTGGTGCACCAGCCACTCATCTCAGTCAGTCATCTCAGCCACTCATCTCAGTCAGTCGTCTCAGTCAGTCGACCCGTGGCACCTGCTGGGTCTGCCCCGTGACCTCCTGGTGCACCTAGCCTGGCACAGTAAGGGGGCACAGGTGGTGCACCAGCCACTCATCTCAGTCATCTCAGCCACTCATCTCAGTCGTCTCAGTCAGTCATCTCAGCCACTCATCTCAGTCATCTCAGTCAGTCGTCTCAGTCAGTCATCTCAGCCACTCATCTCAGTCATCTCAGTCAGTCGTCTCAGTCAGTCGACCCGTGGCACCTGCTGGGTCTGCCGCGTGACCTCCTGGTGCACCTAGCCTGGCACAGTAGGGGGCACAGGTGGTGCACCAGCCACTCATCTCAGTCGTCTCAGTCAATCATCTCAGTCAGTCAACCCGTGGCACCTGCTGGGTCTGCCCCGTGACCTCCTGGTGCACCTAGCCTGGCACAGTAGGGGGCACAGGTGGTTCATCAGCCACTCATCTCAGTCGTCTCAGTTAGTCATCTCAGCCAGTCGACCCGTGGCACCTGCTGGGTCTGCCCCGTGACCTGCCAGCGGGCGTGTCTCACTGTGTATCTGTGTCTCTGTGTCTCACCGTGTCTCTGTGTCTCACTGTGTCTCACCGTGTCTCTGTGTCTCACCGTGTCTCTGTGTCTCTGTGTCTCACTGTGTCTGTCTCACCGCGTCTCTGTGTCTCTGTGTCTCACCGTGTCTCTGTGTCTCTGTCTCACCGTGTCTCTGTGTCTCACCGTGTCTCTGTGTCTCACTGTGTCTCACTGTGTCTCTGTGTCTCACTGTGTCTCACCGTGTCTCTGTCTCACCGTGTCTCTGTGTCTCTGTGTCTCACCGTGTCTCTGTGTCTCACCGTGTCTCTGTGTCTCACCGTGTCTCTGTGTCTCTGTGTCTCACCGTGTCTCTGTGTCTCACCGTGTGTGTCTCTGTCTCACTGTGTGTCTCACCGTGTGTCTCTGTGTCTCACCGTGTGTGTCTCACTGTGTGTGTCTCTGTGTCTCTGTGTCTCTCTGTGTGTCTCTGTGTGTCTGTGTCTCTGTGTCTCAGCACTGAGTGTGTGTACTCGCCCGGGGCCTACCGAGGCCGTGCCCGCGCCCTGCTCAAGGACCTGGAGCGTGTCTCTCTGTGTGTCTCTGTGTCTCACTGTGTCTCACTGTGTCTCTGTGTCTCTCACTGTGTCTCTGTGTCTCTGTGTGTCTGTGTGTCTCAGCACTGAGTGTGTGTACTCGCCCGGGGCCTACCGAGGCCGTGCCCGCGCCCTGCTCAAGGACCTGGAGCGTGTCTCTCTCTGTGTCTCTGTGTGTGTCTCACTGTGTCTCTGTGTGTCTCACCGTGTCTCTGTGTCTCACTGTGTCTCACCGTGTCTCTGTGTCTCACCGTGTCTCTGTGTCTCTGTGTCTCACCGTGTCTCTGTGTCTCTGTGTCTGTGTCTCACCGTGTCTCTGTGTCTCACCGTGTCTCTGTGTCTCTGTGTCTCTGTGTCTCACCGTGTCTCTGTGTCTCACTGTGTCTCTGTGTCTCTGTGTCTCACTGTGTCTCACCGTGTCTCTGTCTCACCGTGTCTCTGTGTCTCTGTGTCTCACCGTGTCTCTGTGTCTCACCGTGTCTCACCGTGTCTCTGTGTCTCTGTGTCTCACCGTGTCTCTGTGTCTCACCGTGTGTGTCTCTGTCTCACTGTGTGTCTCACCGTGTGTCTCTGTGTCTCACCGTGTGTGTCTCACTGTGTGTGTCTCTGTGTCTCTGTGTCTACTCACCGTGTCTCTGTGTCTCACCGTGTGCATCTCTGTGTCTACTCACCGTGTCTCTGTGTCCCACCGTGTGTGTCTCTGTGTCTCTGTGTCTACTCACCGTGTCTCTGTGTCTACTCACCGTGTGTGTCTCTGTGTCTACTCACCGTGTCTCTGTGTCTCACCGTGTCTCTGTCTCACCGTGTCTCTGTGTCTCACCGTGTGTGTCTCTGTGTCTCACTGTGTCTCTCTGTGTCTCTCACTGTGTCTCTGTGTCTGTGTGTCTCAGCACTGAGTGTGTGTACTCGCCCGGGGCCTACCGAGGCCGTGCCCGCGCCCTGCTCAAGGACCTGGAGCGTGTCTCTCTGTGTGTCTCTGTGTCTCACTGTGTCTCACTGTGTCTCTGTGCCTCTCACTGTGTCTCTGTGTCTCTGTGTCTCTCTGTGTCTCAGCACTGAGTGTGTGTACTCGCCCGGGGCCTACCGAGGCCGTGCCCGCGCCCTCCTCAAGGACCTGGAGCGTGTCTCTCTGTGTCTCTGTGTGTGTCACTGTGTCTCACTGTGTCTCTGTGTGTCTCTGTGTCTCACTGTGTCTCTCTGTGTGTGTCTCTGTGTCTGTGTCTCTGTGTCTGTGTCTCTGTGTGTCTGTGTGTCTCAGCACTGAGTGTGTGTACTCGCCCGGGGCCTACCGAGGCCGTGCCCGCGCCCTGCTCAAGGACCTGGAGCGTGTCTCTCTGTGTCTCTGTGTGTGTCTCTGTGTCTCACCCTGTGTGTCTCTGTGTCTCTGTGTCTGTGTGTCTCAGCACTGAGTGTGTGTACTCGCCCGGGGCCTACCGAGGCCGTGCCCGCGCCCTGCTCAAGGACCTGGAGCGTGTCTCTCTGTGTCTCTGTGTGTGTCTCTGTGTGTGTCTCTGTGTCTCTGTGTCTCTGTGTGTGTCTCACTGTGTCTCTGTGTGTCTGTGTGTCTCAGCACTGAGTGTGTGTACTCGCCCGGGGCCTACCGAGGCCGTGCCCGCGCCCTGCTCAAGGACCTGGAGCGTGTCTCTCTGTGTCTCTGTGTGTGTCTCTGTGTCTCACCCTGTGTGTCTCTGTGTCTCTGTGTCTGTGTGTCTCAGCACTGAGTGTGTGTACTCGCCCGGGGCCTACCGAGGCCGTGCCCGCGCCCTGCTCAAGGACCTGGAGCGTGTCTCTCTGTGTCTCTGTGTGTGTCTCTGTGTCTCACCCTGTGTGTCTCTGTGTCTCTGTGTCTGTGTGTCTCAGCACTGAGTGTGTGTACTCGCCCGGGGCCTACCGAGGCCGTGCCCGCGCCCTGCTCAAGGACCTGGAGCGTGTCCGCCCCCGCGCCATCATTGACGTCGTCCACGCCGCCCAGCGTCTCCACATCGTCACCGGCGGTGGCTCCGGCGGTGGCTCCGGCGTCACCGGCGGTGGCTCCCACTCCCACCACCACCACCACCACCGCCCCTACCACCACCCTGTGCTGGAGTGCTGCTCTCTCTGTGGCCTAGCTGCCAGCTCTGCCGTGTGCTCAGCCTGCAGGCTACTGGCAGGCCTCAGGCAGGGCCGGGCCCGGCTCGGAGTGGGCGGGGCGTCGGAGAGGGGGCGGGGTCGGGGGGAAGGGGTGAGGGGGGGTGGGGTGGGTGGGGGGGTGGGTGGGGGGGAGGTGGGTGGGGGGGAGGAGGTGAGGGGGGGGGCGGGTGGGGGGGAGGGGGTAAGGGGGGTGGGTGGGGGGTTGGGTGGGGGGGAGGGGGTGAAGGGGGTGGGTGGGGTGGGTGACGGGGAGGGGGTGAAAGGGGTGGGTGGGGGGGAGGGGGTAAAGGGGTGAAGGGGGGTGAGGTGGGTGGGTGGGAGGGGGTGAAGGGGGGTGAGGTGGGTGGGGTGAAGGGGTGTGAGGGGGGGGCGGGTGGGGGGTGGGGGTGAAGGGGGTGGGGGGGAGGGTGGGGAGGGGGTGAGGGGGGTGGGTGGGGGGGAGGGGATGGGGTGAGGGGTGGTGGACGAGGGGGAGGGGGGGTGGGCGGGGGGTCAGGAGGGTGGGGGTGAGAGACAGAGACACGGGGGGTGGTGGTGATCGTGGTGAGACCAGCGTCGCCATCGTTACCGTGGTTACCGTCGTTACCGTGGTTACCATCGTTACCGTGGTTACCGTGGTCATCTTCATGGTTACTGTGGCCACCATCGTTACCACGGTGACCATTGTTACCGTGGTTACCGTCGTTACCGTGGTTACCATCGCTGTTTCAATTATTAAACGAATTGAACACAAAGATGCCCGCTGGGGTAGTGAATACATCAGCTGGTGATGGTGATGGTGGTGATGGTGGTGATGGTGGTGGTGATGGTGGTGGTGGTGGTGATGGTGGTGGTGGTGATGGTGGTGGTGGTGATGGTGGTGGTGATGGTGGTGGTGGTGATGGTGGTGGTGGTGATGGTGGTGGTGATGGTGGTGGTGGTGGTGGTGATGGTGGTGGTGGTGATGGTGGTGGTGGTGGTGATGGTGGTGGTGATGGTGGTGGTGGTGGTGGTGATGGTGGTGGTGGTGATGGTGGTGGTGGTGGCGATGGTGGTGGTGACGATGGTGGTGGTGGTGGTGATGGTGATGGTGGTGATGGTGGTGGTGGTGGTGATGGTGACGATGGTGGTGGTGATGGTGGTGGTGATGGTGGTGGTGATGGTGGTGGTGGTGGTGGTGGTGGCGATGGTGGTGGTGACGATGGTGGTGGTGGTGATGATGGTGGTGGTGGTGGTGATGGTGGTGGTGGTGGTGATGGTGGTGGTGGTGGTGATGGTGGTGGTGGTGGTGATGGTGGTGGTGGTGATGGTGGTGGTGGTGGTGATGGTGGTGGTGGTGATGGTGGTGGTGGTGATGGTGGTGGTGGTGGTGATGGTGGTGGTGGTGATGGTGGTGGTGGTGATGATGATGATGGTGGTGATGGTGGTGATGATGATGGTGGTGGCGATGGTGGTGGTGATGGTGGTGGTGGTGGTGATGGTGGTGGTGGTGATGGTGGTGGTGATGGTGATGATGGTGGTGGTGATGGTGGTGATGAGCTCCTCCGGCGGGCAAGGCTGCGATGGCTGGGTCATGTAGCCCGCATGTCCAGCCACCGCATGCCGAAACAGCTTTTGTTTGGCCGGATCTAGGGGGCTAAACGGGCGCGGCACGAGCTAGAGAAGAGATGGAGTGATGGGTGAGTGGGTGAGTGAGTGACACGGGCTAGAGAAGAGATGGAGTGATGTGGTACAGGAGGACGTGGAGCTGAGTGGACTTGCCGATGACTGGTACCAGCGGTGTCAAGATCGGCCTCTGTGGAGGAGGAGGCTCGTGAAGGACGCTACTGGGCAGTTGGAGGTAGTCGCCCTCCAACAACAACGGAGGGCGGAGGAGCGACGCTCACAACAACGAGCGGAGCGCCGGGTGGCTAAAGCAGAGCAGGTTGGCACAGTAGGGGGCACAGGTGGTGCATCAGCCAGTCATCTCAGTCACCTGAGTCAGTCGACCCGTGGCACCTGGGTCTGCCCCATGACCTGCCAGCGGGCGTTCGACACTTCACTTGGCCTCAAGGTGCACATAGCCTGGCACAAGCGTCGTGGTGAGGAGCTCACAAATCCTTGAAATATCTGGGCAAGGTCCCATCGGTGAGCTCCGCCGGCAGGCAAGGCTGCGTTGGCTGGGTCATGTAGCCCGCATGCCCAGCCACCGCATGCCGAAACAGCTTTTGTTCGGCCGGATTGAGGGGGCTAAGAGGGCGCGGCACGGGCTGGAGAAGAGATGGAGTGATGTGTGAGTGGGTGAGTGAGTGAGTTGGTGACACGGGCTAGATAGGAGATGGAGTGATGGGTGAGTGAGTTGGTGAGTTGGTGACACGGGCTAGAGAAGAGATGGAGTGATGGGTGAGTGAGTGAGTTGGTGACACGGTCTAGATAAGAGATGGAGTGATGGGTGAGTGAGTGAGTGAGTTGGTGACACGGGCTAGAGACGAGATGGAGTGATGGGTGAGTGGGTTAGTTGGTGAGACGGGCTAGAGAAGAGATGGAGTGATGGGTGAGTGGGTGAGTGAGTGAGTTGGTGACACGGGCTAGAGAAGAGATGGAGTGATGGGTGAATGGGTGAGTGAGTGGGTGGGTGGGTGACACGGGCTAGAGAAGAGATGGAGTGATGGGTGAGTGGGTGAGTGAGTGGGTGAGTGAGTTGGTGACACGGGCTAGAGAAGAGATGGAGTGATGGGTGAGTGGGTGAGTGAGTTGTGACACGGGCTGGAGACGAGATGGAGTGATGGGTGAGTGGGTGAGTGAGTTGGTGACACGGGCTAGAGAAGAGATGGAGTTATGGGTCAGTGTGTGAGTGAGTTGGTGACACGGGCTAGAGAAGAGATGGAGTGATGGGTGAGTGGGTGAGTGAGTGAGTGAGTTGGTGACACGGGCTAGAGAAGAGATGGAGTGATGGGTGAATGGGTGAGTGAGTGGGTGGGTGGGTGACACGGGCTAGAGAAGAGATGGAGTGATGGGTGAGTGAGTGAGTGAGTGACACGGGCTAGAGAAGAGATGGAGTGATGGGTGAGTGGGTGAGTGAGTGGGTGAGTGAGTTGGTGACACGGGCTAGAGAAGAGATGGAGTGATGGGTGAGTGGGTGAGTGAGTGGGTGAGTGAGTTGTGACACGGGCTGGAGACGAGATGGAGTGATGGGTGAGTGGGTGAGTGAGTTGGTGAGTTGGTGACACGGGCTAGAGAAGAGATGGAGTTATGGGTCAGTGTGTGAGTGAGTTGGTGACACGGGCTAGAGAAGAGATGGAGTGATGGGTGAGTGGGTGAGTGAGTGAGTTGGTGACACGGGCTAGAGAAGAGATGGAGTGATGGGTGAGTGGGTGAGTGAGTGGGTGAGTGAGTTGTGACACGGGCTAGAGAAGAGATGGAGTGATGGGTGAGTGGGTGAGTGAGTTGGTGAGTTGGTGACACGGGCTAGAGAAGAGATGGAGTGATGGGTCAGTGTGTGAGTGAGTTGGTGACACGGGCTAGAGAAGAGATGGAGTGATGGGTGAGTGGGTGGGTGAGTGGGTGACACGGGCTAGAGAAGAGATGGAGTGATGGGTGAGTGGGTGACGGGCTAGAGACGTGATGGAGTGATGGGTCAGTGGGTGAGTGAGTGGGTGAGTGAGTGAGTGGGTGAGTGAGTGGTACGGGCTAGGGAAGAGATGGGGTGATGTGGTACAGGAGGACGTGGAGCTGAGTGGACTTGCCGATGACTGGTACCAGCGGTGTCAAGATCGGCCTCTGTGGAGGAGGAGGCTCGTGAATGACGCTGCTGCTGCTGGGCAGTGCCAGGCTAGGTGCACCGTGAGGCTACTGGGCAGTTGGAGGCAGTCGTCCTCCAGCAACAACAACGGAGGGCAGAGGAGCGACGCTCACAACAACGAGCGGAGCGCCGGGCAGATAAAACGCAGCGTGTTGGCACAGTACGGGGCACAGCGGGTGTGGTGCACCTAGCCTGGCACAGCGGGTGTGGTGCATCAGCCACTCATCTCAGTCAGTCAACCCATGGCACCTGCAGGGTCTGTCACGTGACCACCTGCACCTAGCCTGGCACAGCAGTCAACCCGTGGCACCTGCTGGGTCTGTCACGTGACCTCCTGCACCTAGCCTGGCACAGCAGTCAACCCATGGCACCTGCTGAGTCTGTCCCGTGACCTCCTCCTAATGCACCTAGCCTGGCACAGCAGTCAACCCGTGGCACCTGCAGGGTCTGTCCCGTGACCTCCTCCTCGTGCACCTAGCCTGGCACAGCAGTCAACCCATGGCACCTGCTGGATCTGTCACGTGGCCTCCACCTGCACCTAGCCTGGCACAGCAGTCAACCCATGGCATCTGCTGGGTCTGTCCCGTGACCTCCTGCACATAGCCTGGCACAGGTGCCGTTGTGACGTCACCAGCATTTCAGTTGGTGTTGCCGTGGAAACGGGATCGCGTCGCCTCCCGTGATTGGCTGTTCACAGGAAACCTGGATTGAGGCGCCCGCTATGATTGGTTGCCGGAGCGTTCGTCCCTAGGCAACCAGAATGAGTCGCCACTCCTGATTGGCTGTCCCCGGCTTGTTTTGGATACGGGGGAATGAGTCGCCTGCTGTGATTGGCTGAGCGCCCGGGGGAGGTGATGCAGTTGGAGTTTCGGCCGCTGCGATTGGCTGAGCAAAGGGGGGGGGGGGGCGGGGTTAACATGGTAACTGAGGGGTGGGCGGGGAGGGGGCGTTTGGGCCGCTGCGATTGGCTCAGCGCGGGGGGGGGTTATCATGGTAACGGAGGGGAGAAGGGGGGAGTTTGGGCCGCTGCGATTGGCTGAGCGCGGGGGGGGGGTGTCATAGTAATGAGGGGTGGGGGAGTTTGGAGTTTGGGCCCCTGCGATTGGCTGAGCGCGGGGGGGGGGTGGTGTCATAATAACGAGGGGTGGGGGAGTTTGGAGTTTGGGCTGCTGCGATTGGCTGAGCGCCGGGGGGGGGGGGTGGTTGTCACGGTAACGGGGGGGGGGAGAGGGGGGAGCGTTTGGGCCGCTGCGATTGGCTGAGCGCCGGTAGACGGCAGTTGAGCCGGGCGCTGCGATTGGCTGGCGCCGTCACTTCCT